CTTGAAATTCATAAAATGGATGGTCAAGATTCAATATTGTAGGGGACTCATTTTAACCATATCTATGATGCAAATTGGATTTTATTTTTTTGAAAATTGACTATTTGGATGTGGAAAGGGTATATGCAATTTTTGGAGTGATACAAATGCCACAAACATGGTTTTCTAGAAGTGTGGTTGCATTATATTATTATACAACTGTTGCATAAAATCATTTTTCTATATATATATATATATTCCTAAAATTTTAGAAGACTTAATCTAGATCTCGTATTTTAGATCCGGATCCAAGCATTGTGGATTTAATCGGATCTGGATATAAATCCAGATCCCAAATATACTTTTTGGATCTAAATCCGGGTCCAGATCCAGATCCAGATCTAGATAGATCTGATACCAAATCCGAAAAATTCTCAGCCCTACACAAGTAATCTCACGAACGGACAAAACGGGGGCATTGTATCCTTGAGTAGCTCCACAAATCTTCATTGTCATCTTATCAAACCGGATATGTACAAAACATTCCACTGATATATGTTGATTCCATAATTGTCACAATATCAACTCTTCCTACACTTGCTATAAACTCTAATTCTTATTTTTATTCCTTATTGTAGTTTCATTATTCTCGATTCTTATTTTATTCCTAATTTTATCTTCATTACTCGAGAATTATCTTACAAAGAGTTTGCTTTATTAATTTTTATGGGACCATTAAATAATCCATTGCCATAAGATCAATTGTTCATTCTCTTGCTTTAAACTCTTCACCCACTTGACGGTAGAGAGTTATTCTTATTTAATTCATCGTTTTAGTCTCATTAAGAAATCTCGCAAAGTGTTTGCTTGTTTTGAGCTGCCAAAGGGTTTGCTCTGTATTATAACTTATTTATATGTTAATATAAATTAGTATTTGCACGTTTAGATGTAAATTATTGAAATGATATGGTTTATATGGTTGAAAATAGTGAAAAAAGATATAAAGACTTATGGTCTCACTAAGAGCATGGCCTTCGATAGAGCAGAATGACATACTATTAATTGTACAGTCGACCCCAAATATTTGAGAAAAAGCTCTGATGATGATTCATTTTACATTACACTTAAGACTTAAAGCTTTGGCCTTATAAAAAAAAGTAAGGCAAAAGTTTATATAAGGTTGCAACCTTATTTGTAGAAATAAGATTGTCGTAATCTACGCCGTACATTTTTTTTTTAATGGAATTGATTGGACATTATCTTAAAAAACATGCCATATATTGATATTATCTTAAAAGATGTGTCAAAT